AGATAGCAATGAACCTAAAACTGTTAGGGATGCTCTAAAATCTGATAAATCAGCTGAATGGTTAAATGCTATGAAAGAAGAAATGAACTCTTTGCATGTTAACCAAACTTGGACTCTTGTTCCTAAACCTGCTAATTGCTCTTTGGTAGACTGCAAATGGTTGTTTAAGGTTAAGGATGAGGTAGACTCCATTAGGTATAAGGCTCGTCTTGTTGCTAAAGGTTTCACGCAAAAGGAAGGTATAGATTATACTGAAATTTTTGCTCCCGTTGTTAAATTTACCACTGTTCGTATTATGCTTGCATTAGTTGCGCATTTTAATTGGGAATTGAAACAAATGGATGTAAAAACTGCTTTCTTGCATGGTGAATTAGATGAGCATATTTACATGAAACAGCCCGAGGGCTTCGTAGATGCTAAAAGGCCTGAATATGTGTGTTTGCTGAAAAAATCTTTATATGGCTTGAAACAATCACCTAGGCAATGGAATAAGAAATTCGATTCTTGCATGCTTTCATTGAAGTTTAAGAAAAGTGATTATGACCCTTGTCTTTACTTCAAAGATACTCGCTCTGTGCCTATTTTCTTGTTGATCTATGTCGATGATATGCTCATAATCAGCCCTTGTGTGAAATCTGTTGATCATGTGAAAATACGTCTAAGTGAACAATTTGACATGAAATACTTAGGGGATGCTAAGAAAATATTGGGCATGAACATTGATCGCAATCGAGATAATAATTTGCTATTCTTGAATCAAATTTCTTATGTGAGTAAGATCTTAGAAAAATTTGCCATGTCTAATGCTAAACCTGCAAACGTGCCTTTAGCTGCCCATTTTCAATTAAGTAAGGATCAGTCCCCCAAGACTGAAACTGAAATTGACTCTATGCAAAATGTTCCTTATGCCAATGCGATAGGTTCTGTGATGTACTTGATGGTAAGCACTCGTCCTGATATAGCTTATGCGGTAAGTTGTTTGAGTCGCTATATGTCGAACCCAGGTATGCCGCATTGGGAAGCTTTGAAATGGCTTCTTCGTTATTTGAAACATTCTTTGCATATTGGCCTAAATTTTTCTAAATCTGAAACTGAAATTGAATTAATTGGCTATGTTGACTCCAACTTTGCGAATGATAGAGATAGTAGGAAATCATCCACTTCTTATGTTTTCACTTTGTGTGGATCATGCATTAGTTGGAAATCGCAACTGCAGAATATTGTAGCCCTATCTACAACCGAGGCTGAATACATCGCTGCCACCGAGGCAATGAAAGAAGCTATATGGCTTAAAGGCATTCTGCGCGAAATTGGTTTTCTTAAAAAGGATGTCACCGTTTTCTCGGATAGCCAATCAGGAATTCAATTATGTAAAAACCCGGTTTTCCACGATCGTACTAAACACATTGAGATTAAGTATCACTTTATTCGTAATATTGTGGAACAGGGTATTATCAAGCTGGAAAAAATTCCATCACAATTTAATCCAGCAGATATGGGTACTAAGTGTCTACCGCTCGAGAAGTTTCGCTCTTGCTTGAAAAGCTTGAGCCTAATCTCTCAATCCTAATTACTGTGTGTAATTAAAGGGCTGTCTTCGTGACTGCCCCTACTTTTTTAATCTGTGTGATTAATCTTTTAATGTACGGTGCTGACTTTGTGTGTTGTTGTGCAGGTACATTTAAAACGGCAATGATGACCTCATATCCCAATTTTGTCCCGATAGTCCATTTGGGCCCAGGTGGAGATTGTTAGATAAAAGGGGCCCAAATGTTTATTTGGCCCAAAAACTGCTAACCCACCTTGTGCAGCCCACTCCCTTGGTGTCGGCCCAGCAGCTCACATAAAGCCCAAGCAGAGTCAATCTGGACCGTTGATTGATAAGTCTCGATCTCAGCCATCCATGCCACATATATATATCTTCTCTCTCTCACAAAGCCTCCAAACCCTAACCTAGCAGCTGCACCTCTCTCTTCTCTCTTCTTCTCAACGGCCGAATCTTTCGCCGGTTTCCATGGCGGTCGGAGATTCGGTCGATTCCCTTTCCTTTCTTGATGCAGCTGCACGAGTATATATACATCTCTTCTTGACGATGAAGAGAACAACGAGAACAACGAAATCTTCCCATCTTCTACCTTCTTGTCTTAAACCTCTCTGTGGTGAGTGGTTTCGTGACCTCTGTGAGTGAGGGTACCAGATCTGGGGAAACACTGTGTGTGTGAGTTCGATTCGTTGGGGTTTTGGGTTGGGTTGAGACTACAGTCGGAGTGAGGCTGAGATCTGAGCACTCGGATGATGTTCTGACTGCTGGGCGTGGATCTGTGAGCTTGACACCGGGAGTGTGCTGGCTGCCGCCGACTGGACTCCGGACGTGGACACGGGAAACGAGGACTGAGCCGTTGCTGTGTCATCTTCTCCACCGGAGCCGAAAACGGGCAGATTTTCGATCTGCCCCAGATTCGTTCTTATTATTATTTATTTCTGTAATTTATTTGTTAAGTCTTAATCCCCTTCCCCTTAGGCTTATTAATCTGTGTAATTCATTTGATTAAAGGTCTGTAATATTAATGCTATTTGAACGGCCACCCAACACTATGTTTGCTTTGATAAGCTGATTATGTTGTTTTTACAAGTGTTGACATTTCATCTTATTGACCTTTGTTTTGGATTCTTGCATTTTGTCGAAAAATTACGAAAATATTAGGAAATAAAATCTTAAAATTACCATTATTTTCGATTTTGGAACAAAAAATTAAGAATTAATGCAATTTCCGAAAATTCCGAAATTCCGCCGATTCCGAGGTATTCCGAAATTGGAATGGATTTTGAAATTCCGATTTTTTTGGAACGGAAATTGAAACCTATTTTTAACTTCCGAAAAAAATTGGAAAATTTCCGAAAAAGGTATTTCCGATCCATTCCGTCCGATTTCCACCCCTAGTTTCTAGGGTTAATAAATTAAAAAGGGTAAAACTGGGTTATGATAAAATAATTGAGGTATGTCAATTCATAATATCATCGTATGAGGATAATTCAAAATGCAAAAAAAGAGTTGGGCCTGTAATATTAATAAATGTGTTTTGAGGGGTTATCCATAATTAAACATTTTTTTTAAGTTTACCTAGTGCACTTATATGATTGGCTGCGAGTAATTTTTTAAAATGTTATATAAAAATTGACCAATTACATAATCAAAAATATTACGAGTAATTTATTATGAATGAATTTTTTTTAGAAAATCAAAGATGAATTTTGAATGTTTGAAATTGGAAAAAATATGGTTTTCACCACTTAAGGTTGCATCGATTTCACATTTGACCCCATGTTCACAAAAAAAAACACATTTAGTCCCTCATATTTCAAATATGTAATACTTTTAGTCATTTCCGTCAATTTTCGGGCTAAACAGTAAATTAACTGAAATGACAAAAAATGTTAAATTATTGGGATTATTTTGTAGACCCCCTCATTTCCAAATTATATAGAACTAACTACCAAGTGGATTACACTCTAGGTGAAACCCCCCTCATTTCGAAAATATTTTAACATACCCCCCTGGGCTACCCTGAAGTTCCTATAATACCCTTCTAAAATCAGTTTTAACCCTAGCCACTCACGGTCTCTCTCTTCTTCTCCCAGATTCAAAATCCCGCCGCTACAAACCTCTCACCGGCGAAATTGCTTCCCGAAGCCATAACTCTCTCTCCGGTGGTCGGAATTCGATGGTTTAACTACAGTTGGATTCCTCTCGTCAAGCTCTTTCTTTTGGTGGTGATTTCATTCAGTTTCGAGCGCGGATCTGTTTCTGCAATTTTTTTTTCATTCGAGTACGGTGGTCTTGCCGGAGCTTTATTTTGTGTTCCACCCGTCGAAATTTGACGGGTCATCCACCGTTGGATTCCTCTCGTCGGGATTTATATTTTGATGGTAATTTCGTTTATTTTTATCTTTTCAGATTTATTTCTATATTTTTTTGCATTTCCCAGCAATAACCTCTTTCTCTATCTCTCGATCTCTTAATGTTTGGTGATTTTTTAGTGTTTTGATGTTTTTATTCAAATTTGTTGATTTGCACTAAAGTAATTTCTTTTTGTTTTGATTTGCAATTGCAGCTTAATGAAGGTCATTGATCCTTTCCTTGAAGGTGTCAATTTTTTGTTTTTTTAAGTTACATCAGATCTGTTCAACAGACTGTATACATTACTATACATTACTATAGTAACATGTAGTTACACGTAGTTACATATGCGTATATTTATGTATTTTCGATTTGTATTTTATTGGTTCTGATGTGATTTATAATAAAAATATTTAAATTTGTAAATTTTTTGTAGGGGTTTTATGAATTTATTTTGTATAAGTCAGTATTCGTGTGTGTATACAATTGATCGACTAAAAATATGGGGAAAAAACGAACATAACTATGAATTACTATAGGTACTATAGTTACATGTAGTTATTTTCAGTACTGTAAACATATTGTTTTGAAAATAAATAATAAAATATATATATATATATATATATATATATATATATATATATATTTAACAAAAAGATTTATAAAAAATAAAAAAAATAAAAAAAAAAGAAAATAATAATAAATAAATCAGCGAAAATGATAAATGCAGGACCATAAATGCTGAATGCAGTCTGGCCGAAAATTGCACATAAGGGTAGTATAGTACTTTCACTACCCCAGGGGGTATGTGAAAGGATGATTTGGGCTTGAGTTTATCCCTAGTTTATTTGGTGGCTAGGGGATGTAAAATAACCCCTAAATTATTAGTACATGAGGAGGGACCAAATGTGTTTTATGAATATAGGGGACCAAATGTGAAATCAGTGCAAACTTGAGGGGTGAAAACTGTAATTTTCTTGTTTGAAATTTGTTCACTTCAATTATCAACAGTCAATCATAAGTAGACGATAATTAAAGTATTAACCAAGTCAAAACCTTAAACCCTAATATTTGCTTTCAGCCTGGGCTTTTTGTGTTCAACCAAAACAGTTATTTCAATAAGCTTCTGATTACAGAAATGTTCAATTCGGCGAGGCTCAACCTAAAATCAAGCCTCCGCCGCTACTCGACGGCGATTAATCGCCGCCGTATCGAGGACGAAGGCGACTGGTTTTACTCCTCAGAGTGGTGGGACAGCGGCTCCTCTAACAGCCGCACAGTTTTCCGAGAAGTTTCCGATACCGGAAACGGCGTCGTTTCTGTGCTAGCTCACCCTTCTTCCAAACCGGTGAGTTTATATATGTAGAGTAAAATGCACTGCTTGTTTTTATAATCTGTTTTGACTTTTTTTAATGTTGAATTTTTTATGAACGGTATATTCTTTAGTATGAAGGAATCAACTGCATTTGAATTTGAGTACGATGTTGGTAATATTGATATTTGATAGTGTTAGTGCAGTTGTATGATGTTTGGAATATCTGGTTAAGCTCTGATTTAGCCCAGATTAGTGGTGGAAATTGGACGGAATGGATCGGAAATGGCTTTTTCGGAAATTTTCAATTTTTTTCGGAAGTAAAAAATGGAAAAAAATTGGAATGCAAAAGATCATTCCTATTTTTTATAATCTCTTGTTCCAAATTCGGATATAATGCGAATTTTCACAATATTTTTCTATCTTTTTTGAAATTTTGCAGGAAAATGCAAGAAAATATAAAAGAGGGACAAAACGCAATAATTAAAACCACATTTAGGAACAACAAATTGAAACCGAGATTTTCTGAGAAGGAAAAATGCAACAGTGAGTTTTTGGTACCAATTATATTTCTGAGGTTATAATTTACTTGGCCGTTCGCTATTCATATTTTTCATATAAAATATAACATAAGTTATATTATGGAATTACAAAATATATCAGAAAGTTATATTACATATTTCAAAAAACAATAGAAATATTCAAAACTAAAATCGGACTGGAAATCAGAATTTCTAGTAATTTTATATACAATTCCGATTCCGTTCCAAATAAATTCGGAAAAATCAGAAATCAAAACTTCAAAATCGTAGTAAAAAATACGGTTCCAAATTCGGATATTTTCGGATCGGAATTGGCGGAATTTAGAAATTCCATTCCAATTTCCACCCCTAGCCCTGATTGATTTTAATTCATAAGCTTAGTTTGATTATCAAATTAATGTTACTGTCATCTATCCAGTGTTTAAATCCTCTGGTTTTCATTGCAGAGTAATCTATAACTTGATCTATTATTGCCTTTCATCTCATTTAATTTTTACTTTTAAATAATAGTACTTTTAAGTTTTAATCGAACTTTGAAATTGTTTTGTATTATAATAGTCACTAACCTAGTATAAAATTGATGCAGGACAGATCGTACTGGCCAAAGACTGAAAAATGGCTTAAACAGAGGCATGCAGAGTTATTTCCAGATTCTAAAGACGAAGGAGAATTCCGAGTTATTGGTTACGAGTGGAGAACACTTCACTTTAATGACTATACTCGCGAAAGCACCGTTAAAATTTTGGCTGCACGTAATGAAAAAGAACCTGGCTCGTTGTGCTTTATGCAGCAGGCACACTGTCTAGCTGTACCATGTAATTTCCATCGGACTTTTTCCTTTCACAATTCTTGTTCATAAAATTTTCCCGCAAATGTATAGATGCTTTCGTATATTTTGGAAAAGTTTTCGAAAGAAGGTGTTTATTTCCCGCAATTCATAGAGTTTAATGTCGTTGGATGCCAGCGGCATAATATGAACGAGATTATTTATTTGGACGTTCTCTTTCGAACTTCGAAGACTATACAAATGTTCGGCTCTGTTTTATTGGTTTATATGTTTGTCTGCAGATGTGAAGAGCATGGTATCTGTTGGATTGGCTACCATCTTATTAAGTAGCGGGGATTTAGTCAAGAATGCTGTACGAGGCAAGCAAAATATGAACGTTTTATGCATCGGCCATGGTGGTGGAAGCCTGCCGTTGTTTCTCGCTAGTAAAATTCCAGGTTCGGAAACTAAACAAACTTCTGCATTTGATGATGATGCCATACCTCTGTGATATGGTAAAATTACAAAAACAAAACCCTCATCTTTGGTAATTACAACCACACCCCTCAACTACGAATCTTCTTACACGTTCACCCTCGCAGTGTTAAATTTAGTGGAATCTTCTATATTATGTGGAATATTCTCCAGTTTTATCCCATTCGAGCTCCACAATGTGAAACAAGATAATCATATGATGTGTCTTTTTGCTTGAAAATATCAGATTGTGATGTATCAGAAACTGCATTTTTGCACAAAACAAGTACAAACTAGAGCACATTCAACGGAATGGAAGATTATGTTGAAGTTAACACTATAAGAGTGGACGTATAAGAAGATTCTTAGTTGAGGGAGGTGGTTGTAATTACCCAAACAAGAGGGATTTTTTCGTAATTTGATTTTACCTCAGGTGGCTGGCCGTAATTTACCCTATATATATATATGTGTATATATATATTCTTCTTTCCAAATATTGTAAGATATGGCATATCATTCTTTTGTTAGAAAAACGAATTAACTGGTACAGTTTGCTATCGACTCTTACTGAAGTGGTGGAAATGGAATCGTTTTCAGGTGCTATAGTTCACACAGTTGAAATAGACCCTACTGTAATCTCAGCTTCAATCCAAGCAATGGGGTTTCCTTCTTACTCAGTCGTGACATCATCTGGTAAACGGGCTTATCCAAAACCAAACCCTCTCGACAAGTTACTCTGGAAAGGCACCCACGAAAGGCTACTCTTGTTCAATTCCGATGCCGAGAAGTTCATTCTCGAGAGCACTGATATGTATGACATCATCTTTATCGATGCCTATGACGGCGAAGACATTTTTCCACACAAGTTATGGGAACCCAATTCTCCGTTTTTACGGAATCTGGGTGATAGGCTTCACCCAGATCATGGAACAGTTGTGGTGAATCTGCACACGGATGCTGATTTCGTTGAAGACGACTCACTGAGTCAACCGGGTTTATCCTCTTTGCCGATGGGAAGACACGTGTCGAAAGTGTGCGGTGCTTATAAAGATGCTCTGTTAGGGAAGGGTAGTTCTGGTAATGGTTTTGCTTACACGGTTTCTGTGCCTTGGGTGTGTAATACTTCTCTTGTTGTGTGTAGAGGTTTTGTGGGGCCTGAGGAAAGTTCGATATCGAATTTGGTTTTGAACAGTCTAATGTGCAAAGCTCTTGAAGTTGAGAAACTTGTTGAAATGCCGTTTTCGTGTTTGCAGTATATAAAAGGAGGTTTTACTCTCGTGTGACTAAATCACCCGTGAAAAGTGGCTCTCGAGTATTTGTAGCACATTGCATGCGTGTTGTCGCATCTGTGTTTTGAGAACATGGAAGCATTGGGTTTTGCCGTTTAGGCTGAAATCTAGTATATCTACATAGAGAAATGTTTGATATTATCTATTTATTTCCCTCGTACACTGTGTATATATCAATTATGATAAAGAGAAAAGAAATAAACATTTTGAGGAAAAATTGGGTAAAAAACTCGAAATGTGCACATCAACGTTTGGGGTAAAAAAATCTGGAATGGCATTACATAATGCGTCCGTGCGCATTTTTTTGTCCTAATGTAAAAAAACATTGAAACTAAATATTTCAACACTAAAGTCCGGCAGGCGTCTACACGAAACGTGTCCGGAACATGGATACATTAGAAAGTTGGAGTGTCTGTGTAACATACATGGGAGACAACCTTGTGTGACATACTTAACATATAAATTAAAGCGTCGATAGGGAAATTCAAACTCAGGATATTTGATTTCTGAGGAAAAAAAAAATCGGAGAAGAGGATGTTGAATTTTGATACATAGCTAAATACAGAAAACCATTTACTGTGTAACTGCTAACAACAACAAAAGGCTGAGAAGAACCACCACAAATGGTAAACTATGAATTGTTAACGTTAACTAGGAGGTGGTGGTGGTGGTGGTGGTGGTAGTGGTGGTGCGTTTCGGTGGTGATATTCATAAATCGTATAAAAAGTTTGAAGAAACGTAAGCACGAACATGACGAAGAAGCTGATGACAAAGGTGATGAGGATCTTGAGAGATTTCTTGAGATTCCCCCACACGGCAGGTCTGGAATAGTGTGTCGTGAGCAGCCTCACAGTGTCGAGTTCCGATGTGATAAACCCTTCGCAACCGGTGAGCCGGCCTAGAACTCCAGGCAAGTTATCCTTATGTTTGAGGTCGCACGATGTAATGATTCCTTGCTTCTCCAATAGCTTTACGTCTTCCCGGCCACGAACAAGGTCCTTCATTAGCCGCACGTATGAGGAGACCCCCCATCTATTAATAATCTTGCTGTTCGTCGGAGATGAATTCTTCTGGGTTTTCTCGTAATCTATCAAACTCTGAAACACCAGCTCCGTGTCATCGCCCACCGCGAAAACAGGCAGGCGAAGAGAAGCCCCGTGGAAATTCTCCGAAAACTGGATATCTTTCGCTCCCCGGCCTCTCGTTTGTCTCTTGAAGCTAATGCTAACTTGTTCCATCTCGACAGCACTGGGGAATCTCTGGCCGTCTTCAATCGGAACAATACCGTGTTGGCCCGATTCGAAGTCCACGTTGCTAGTACTTATATTTATCTTCGGTTTCGGTACCGACCCGAGAACCATGCACTGGAGGCCATGGAGTAGGTCAGTTGTGTTCTCTCCAAAAAAATCATCATCGTTATTGTAGATTATTACTCCTCCTTGGCTCGGCGGTAAACCGAGTAACTGGTACAGGGCCAGCCGGAATATACCTCGAGGCTCCTCCCATTTTCCTTGATTATTTCTAACCAGTTGCTGGAAAAAGTTCTGCTTCATCAGTTCCTTGATAACTATGGCCGGAATCTGGTTGCCGACAAATAACATGGCCTTCATCCAGTCGTTGATGTCCTTTGCCTTCTGTCGGCCGCCGAAGATTAAATGGCCGCTAGGGTATCCCAAGTGGTCGGAGGCTCCGAGGAGTAGCAGTGCCAGGTGGAGGAAGAAGCATCCGTCTTTGATCATCATCCAGATGAATTCAGACTGCAGCAGGTTATTCGCGTCGTTTACGTAGCTACCTCTTGCAGCTTTTTCTATGTCTGCTCTCCCCATGATTGTGTAGATATCGTTATTGTTTATGCCTCCCGATTGTTCTACAATGCTCCACGCTTCCTCCTTAAAGCTCCAGTAAGATTCTCTTGTACCTTGGCTGTAAAGCGGGCCGAATCTTGGCAGCGCCTGGAGCTCGCTTGGCGACGGCGGCATCGGAGTGTTGATTAACTGTAGTATCTTCGGTGGCGGGTTATCTTTCTTGGCCGATCCAGCACGTGGAACGGATTGGAGCTTGGCCGGGTCTCGTCTCCGGAATATATTCAGTTTACGATGCATCTCAGAGAATTAGCGGAGATATCTTACATCAATGGCCGGTCGGAAAAGGGACAAAAATGGTAGAAAACAAGGAAAAAAATTATATTCTTCTGATGTGAACAGCTGGGAAAAATAAAACTGAAATTTAAATTTATAAGAACACATTGTATATAGTAATATATTGGTATTAATATGTAGAGTTAATTGCATTTACTACCCCTATGAAATTCGAAACTGCACGATTCCCCCTCTGTCATAAAAAAATTAGCAAATACCCCTATGCTTATTAGTCAGAGGCGAAAACCCCCTTGGAGCTGATCGTGCGGCTCACCGCTCACTCGCCGCATTTGCGATTTTTTCTTCCCTTTTGCTTATGAAAGGACAAAACTACCCCGTGGTTATTTGCAATAAAAAAATTCAGCCCTTAACCATATAATTTTTAAAGGTAAGGAACTAAATTGAATTTTTAAAACAAATCCAAGGGTTAAATTGCAATTTTTCAGAACTTAATTAAAATCCTAAACCTATCCCCTAATTTCTTTCCTCGTTTTCTCTTCTTCCTCTCCAAAATTTCTGAACCTGAAGAATTGCAGAAGGTGGTTTTGCAGCGTTGGAATTGTCGGGTGGAAGGATATGTGTCGGAGGTGAGGAAAAAATCCCTCTTCGTCGAAGATGAACGAAGTGCGGGCAGTAGTGGCGGAGCAAGAGCGGCTGATGGGCAGAAATGGTGGATAAAGGACTGTGGGTTTGAATGGGGAGGGTCGGTTGGGGGGCTCTGCGGGGAAGACGACTGTGTTTGCTGGGAAGGTGGTTTTTTTTTTGGGCAAATTACGGCCACCCCCTTGAGCTATGGTCAAATTACGAAAACCCCCCTCTTGTTTGGGTAATTACAGCCACCCCCCTCAACTATACATTTATCTTACGAAAAGACCCCTCCAGAGGTAAATTTAGGGATGTTAATTCGGTAAAACCGGACCAAAATTTCGGCACGCCAACATTTCATACCGTTTACCGAACAAAATATACGATTTGGTTCGGTAAATAACCGAATTACATAAATTTTACGTAAAAATATTTAAAAGGAGGGGAGTGGCTGTAATTACCCAAACAAGAGGGGTCTTTTCGTAATTTGACCATACATAGGGGGTGGCCGTAATTTGCCCTTTTTTTCTTCCTTTTTATATATTTATATTTAATAATATGTTGTGTATTTTATTTGTTTAAAATAGAAATAAAACATAAAATTTTATTAAATATAATGAAAAAATTTCCAACGTATAATATAACAAACTTACTCAGGGTATTTTGGTCTTTTCACAGCTAGTCAATGGGAATAAAGTATATGGGTCGAATGTGCATTCTAAAAGTACGCATAGGGGGGCATTTACTAATTTTTTTATGCAGGGGATCGTGCAGTTGCGAATTTTACAGGGGTAGTAAATGCAATTTACTCTTAATATGTAAAATATATCCCACAACGTAACCGGTAAATTTTAAGACTATATATTTGGATACATTACGGCCACCCTTTGAGGTAAGGTTAAATTACGAAAACCCTTCATGTTTGGGTAATTACAACCGTCCATCAACAATGAATATTCTTATACGTCCACTCTTGCAGTATCAAATTTAGTGAAATCTTCGAGAGTATATGGAATATTCTCTAGTTTGTGTCCGTTTTACACCATTCGAGCTCCACATTTTAAAGCAAGATGGTCATAAGATGTGTTTTTTGGGTTATAAATATCAGATTGTAGTGCATCAGAAATTGCATTTTTGCACGAAACGAATACAAACTAGAGAAGATTGCACAAACTCTAGAAAATTATGTTGAATTTAAAACATAAAAGTGGACGTATAAGAAGATTTATAGTTGATGGAGAGGAAGAGTTGTGATTACACAAACATAACAGGGTTTTTCGTAATTTGACTGACCTCAAAGGCGTTGTAATTGACCCTTGTATATTATGTTGTATGTCAACGAGTAAACAAAGGGAAATGTGTTAAAACCGTACTGTTTCCAACCTGGAAAATACATTAAGAAATGATAATTTCACTTTGCACCTTCAAAATATAGTATTTTGCACTCTGCACCATTGAAAGGTAATAAATTATGACATTACGCTCAATTGATATTTGTTTAGAAACAATTGTGGAGAAAAAAAAATATTTAAATTATTAATTTTCAACCTTTGAACTACTTCTTCACCAAATTACATAAAAATATATATTTTCATTAAAAAAAAAATGAACGAACTTTTTTAATTATCAATTCCAATGAAAAATGTACCGATCCAATAATTTCATGATTTTGTATGAGAATTCTATTTTTGCAATTATATTTGCATACTAAATAAAAAATTATCCTTATTAATCTTGAAACTTCAAATGGGGAGCAATGTGAATTATTTATTACTTTTCGATGGTGCAAAGTGTTATAAAAAAATTTAGAGTGCAAAGTACTTAAATGCTACATTCAAAAAGGTCCACTCTTGCAAATGTTGGATTCATTTGCAAAGACTTCCTTCCTTGGAACATCTACATATACCTGTGTATATATATATATTTTTTATACTTGTATATCTGTTTATTAGTACTTGTATATTTGTTTATCCCACAAATTACGCCACGAAGATATATATATATATATATATATATATATATTTTTTTTTTTCCCCTAAAAAAATTGTACTTTTATTCCGAAAAGGCACATAGGAGCCTCGTTAAAAATGTCGACCTAAAACAAGGAAAAGGATACCCCCCATTTAAAATGTTTACCAGCAGACATATTTATATATACAGACACATAATATATAGGCCACTAGATTATGGGACGTCACCTTTTATTCCATTTTTTGGTTTTTTGATGTCATATATTTTGTTTCTTGAGTTTTTCTTTGAACTCTTGATTTCTTATTAGACAAAAATACTTGACGGTTTTAAGACATAATTCATGTTTTTATATTAATTTTTTATTGTTGTATTTCACAATGATGCAACCAGAAAACAATAAAACATGAAAATATAGATCTACGTTATGTTGGTTTTCCAACGCAACTTGAATAAATGCAGGAAGTTTAAAATGCCAGAGTTACAACCAAAATATATATATATATATATATATATATATATATATATATATATATATATATATATATATATATATATATCTTATTTTCTGTTTGTGTTCGGTAAATCTCACAAAATATAAACGTTGTAAATTATTTGTCTCATAAATTATGCGTTATCGTAGTTCATGTGAAAGAGTTATTACCAAAATACCTTATTTTAACTAATGTCTCCATAAATGGGAAAAGTACACGTTTAGTCCCTTAAGTTTACCTCGATTTCATATTTTCTCCTCTTATTAAAAAAGAAATGTATTCAATCCCTCATGTTTCAAAAATTTAATACTTTTGGTCATTTTCATTAATATTCTAGTCATACTAACAGAATTAAGCATGTGTTCATATACTATTTATGGTTTGACTTGGTCAGGTCATAATTGATCCATATTCTATTATTGCGTGACAAAGACACCATATTTTCTTCTTAGGCTTGATTTTAATTTTACTATGTTTTTTTTGTTCAAGTTGCATAATATAAAATTAGAGGATTTGTATGACTTAAAATTGTCAAAAGTATTGTTCTAAAAAAAAATTAAAAAAAAAATTGAAATTGAAATTGTCAAAAGTATCTGTATAGCACACGACCTTTCAATGCTTGAAAACGTATAGGACTTAATGTATGATTGACTTCAAATTATTATTGAGCGTTTACTTATTGTGGTTATTTCAATTAGGCCCTCAAGACTAAGTTTCACTACATATTAGTCCATCCATTCCTTTTCATTTTAAACAACCCCTTATAAATTCATATTTTGAAAACATCCCCTCAATTTTTGATTAGGGAGTCGGTGACAACTGACAACCGAATAATCAACGTCCATTTTGGATGGAAGGATTTGATTTGGGGAAGGAATTTAAAGGAAGTATTTGAAATTAATTCAATTTGGAGTCATTTAAAATCTACCCCAATTGCTCAAAAAACACCAAAAAATGATGGGTGGGGATTTGAAATCCATCCCCAAATCCCTCAATCCAAATTCTTAACAAGTACAAGAGATTAGTTATTATGGATTTAAAATGCACCCATAGGTTTTTTTGCCACAAGTAAAAGGCACATATATTATGCATAATCTATGCCAAATTCTCTTCAAATTGCTTCAAATAAGTTGATTTTGTGATCGATACGGAAGGAAACGGGGGAAAATTTTCTCACTTTTCTTCTGATATGTTCGAAAATTGGGCAAGTGACAAAGCAAGAAAATGCCTATTTCTATCAAATAAAAGTAAGGATAAAAAGGTAACAACACTGTACAAATTGACAGTGTTAGATCGCATTTTATAGTACATGCGGTTATATACTGGTGAATGACATCTCAACCAAAAGTTTAAGTTTGTAGTGAAATGTATCATTTAATATTAATATCTCCAATGAACCCCCTCAAGTGCAGTCGAATTACATTTGAAGCCTTGCACTTGAAATATTTGAAACGGGTGACGACAGTGGCGGAGTCAGGAATTCGAGATAGGGTGGGCTTATATTTACAGGGGTTCGGAGGCAGAGCTCCCAAGATTTTTTTCATTCATTCGTATAAAGTAGAACAAATTTTATTATCTTTAAATAAGAATGCATAATTCTTGGTGGATGGCCTAAACTAAATTACTTGGGTGGACTAAATTAAATTATTTGGGTGGACAAATTACATATAGCTATAGTATTTAGATATATGTAATTAGCTCACCCAAATAAACTTTCCCGCATGGGTATAGCTCAACTGGTTCCGGTCGTCGGCGGTAAGTTGGAGTAATGAAACTTTTTTTTAATCCACAATGAGCTGGAGCCCACCCTTGCCGAAGATGGCTCCGCCGGTGAGTGGCGGTGGGATTCGAACTCAGCACCTTTCATTTGGCCTGACTCTAATACCTTGTTGAATGACCATTTCAACCAAAAACTTAAACTTTTAGTGAAATGTATCATTTAATATTAACTGGCATTTTTCCCCCGTGCGATACTCGGGATATTATTTCAAAAGTGAAAAAAATAATCAATTTAATACAAAATGAGAAACTATAGTACATTAACATGGTAAAATTTAATAATATAGTATTATTCATATTTTATACAACATTAATTTTTTTAAATTTTACATATTGAGATTTATAATCCAAATATATAGATTAAGATTTAACCATTAGGGTATGATTCTTCGCGGTTTAGTTTCAATTTTGATAATTGTTAAAAATTATAGTTAGAAATTAGTAGAAAAAAAATATTAAAAATAAATATTTACAGAAATAACATTAGGGTTTTGTTAGGGTTGCACAACATTTCTTTCTTTTATATATAAGATATCTGCAATATATACAACAATGGTTATTGTCATAGCATTGGGATGCAAATACATGTTATCAAGCAAATTGTTTTCCAACAACAATAGTATTATCATCTTCATTCAGTTGAACCCCATAACAATTTCAATGCAAACCTTTATGCTCCCCGATAGTCAAGGAACCGCCGGCGAATACGCCGAAACGGGCGGCACTGCGAGTGTCGCCTTGTGTGATTGAAATTTTCTCCCAACAAATAGTTACAAATTTTACAAGTCACAACAAATAATTCACATACATTGAATGATAAGACACACTTTGAAACACATCTTCTACATTTATCACAATCAGTAATTTACAACAAAGGGAGAGAATTATAAAAACTTTTATAATACATGAACGATGAAATAAATAATGTAATATTTTACAAAATTATTACAATTTATAGGCTATGCCACTTATTCGGACGCTTTGCTGGATCATATCGATATTTGCCGATGAATTTCAAAATATCTGATGAATATGTTCGGCACAGAGGATCCAAATTCTCCCGTCGCACTTCTCCGATTTCCCACACTTCGGTTGAAATAAAAGAAGGGAAACTAAGAGTTCAAGGGTCCATCATTTATTGCAACCTTACATACTTCACACCCTTAAGAGGAGAAATAAAAAAAAAAAAAAAAAAAAACAAAAAAACCTTTCTTTTCTTGAAAAACCTTTCTTTTTTTCAAGAAAATATTTTACTGAATATAAATTGGGGCCTCGTTAAAACCTTGTTTGGGCCTAATAAGGAAAGAGTACCCCTAGAGTTCACGAAAATGCTATCAAAAGCTAAGAAAATATATATATTACACGTACTATCATCACTTACTTACGTGGAGCTGACGATGACGATACGAAGAACGTGATTGACCTTGCAAACATCTTCACCTTCTATTCCTTCCACCACTTGTACCCTCTTCTCGAATTCTTTAGGCATCGACACAACCTTCAGCTCTCGTAGTGCATTCAGATATTTTAATCCAACGGGCAACATCGTCAATTTCCCACAATTATTAACCGATAAGCTCATTAGTTGCGGCATCGTTCCTTCTTCAACATCCCACACTTCTAAGTTGCGAAGGTTCTTAAGTTTGAGGGTTCTGAGTTGCGAAAAACCCGTCTCGAGGCAATCCATTTTCTTCCTAACACACGCGTCGTTGCTGAGGGTGAGGCTTCTCAGGTTCGGGATCTCTCCAAATACCGGCATTGGATCATCTTCCAGCTCAGCGCCACTTAGCACGATTTCCGTCAGGTTTTGGATTGATCTCATGTGATGTACCGGCAATTTCTTTATATATCCTTCCAACCGCAACGAGCTGACACGCCGGGAATCCAACAGTTTGGCCAGGACGGACCGTTTCTCCTCGTGAAAACAATTGAAGTTCACAACGTCAATCGAGAAATAACGCAATGCGGTGAAAACCACTTTGGCGAATTCCAAGATTATCTCCAAGTGCTTGTGGTTCTCCTCTACAATAGCACCAACGTGCTGGAGTTTCTTCATCACACCCAAATCGAGAGCATCGCATACGAGCGTATTGAAGTTGACTAGAACTTCGAGATCTTTCAAGCCCCTCAAACTCAACCTGCCGCTCCCAATCTTATCATCGACGACAACTACACACTCAAATCTCGCCGGAAGATAAAGTCGCTTGAGCTCCCTCAGTTTCCACAGGACATTAGGTATGCTCACCACGCAACCTGCCTCCACTCGTAAATCGAGGGTCTTGAGGTGAGTTAACTCACCAATAGACGCAGGCAACTTTTCCAGGTAGCACCTCTTGAAACTCAGGTACCTCAAACATATCAGCTCCCCGCCAATCCCTTTCGGTAGGTCCCACCCGCGGAAGTCAACCCCGTTGAACTCCAAAACCCTCAGCAATTCCAGCTCCCCAATATCCGGTTGTGGCTCGAACGTCCCGAAAACGAACAGAGACCGTAGACGAGGGCTGGCTTTGGCGCATTCTCTGGAGGAAGATCCATCTTCGTAGCTCTTGGTATTTATTGAAAGTCGACGGACCAAAGACCTAACCGATCCAACTCGATTTCCACGACTCGGAATGACCTTATATAGTTCTTCCTTTTCTGCTTCGACAATGCAAAATTCTCGTACAAGGGGATGAAGCTTGCATGATTTGGATCTCCGGCCATCTTCTTCTTCTTCGTCCACCGCTTGGACGAGATTCTTTTGAAATAATTCCTCTAAATAACGTTGTGCAACCTGCATCGGATCCTCGTCACTTTGTGGCGATATCAGTCCTTCGTCGATCCACATGATGTAGAGATCATCGACTTGTATCTCTCGTTCGACGGGGAAATGACCAAGATAAAGAAAACAATCCTGGATTTCGTGGCTTAGCTTAGAGTAACTAAAATCTACTACATCTCGCACGATTTGCTCGAGATCGTTCTCTTCCTCTCTTAGATGAGACTTTAGATCATCAGCAAACTGGCTATCCCAATCGGATAAGCTTATATCGATGCTGTTGAAATATCCCGTGAGAATCGCTATCGCCAGCCTCGAGCCTTTGCATAGACTTACTATGTTCATCATTGTCTTCTTCGTGTTTTCGTCGAATATGATCTCTAGAAAATAACAAAAGTGTCAAACTTAATACGATGCAATGTGAGGGTGTTTGTGATCAAGATGAAATAGTTGAAGTTGTTAGTGAGTGAATCATTTAGATTATATTTCCAAAAGATTTTACATAAGTGTTTATTTTTAAAAGTTGAGCCGTTTGCAAACACTTTCAAAAATAAATTTGAACACTAATCGATTCCCAAAAACAGTTTACAAATATTTAAGAAAATGTAATTGAAGTTCAAATCTTATATACAAAAGAAAGAAACGCTGGGCAACCCTAAAAAATCCTAATGGTATTTCTGTAATTATTTATTTTTAATATTTTTTCTTTACTAATTTCTAACTATAATTTTAACAATTATCAAAATTAAAACTAACCCGTGAAAAATCCTACCTTATTGCTATTTATGTAATTATTTATTTTTAATATTTTTTATGTACTAATTTTTTAATATAATTTTCAACAATTATTGATCTCCTAATTTTCATCAATGTATCTCAAATCTTAAGAGATAAAGCTAGAAATTCAATATAAATAATACTACATTATTAAATTTTACTATATTAGTGTACTATATTTTCTTATTATGTATTAAATTAATTATTTTTTTTTTACTATTTAAATAATATCACGTGCATCGCACGGGGAAAAAATGCTAGTTAAGGATTATTTAGACTTGCAAAATCTTAAAAACTTAAGATGATTGATTTATTTCACAAATGGTCACTTGTCCCCATTTTTTAACCCATTCGTCTATTGTATCTTAAAAGGCAAATTACGGTCACCCTGAGGTGAGGTCAAATTATTAAAAAAAAAAACCCTTCTTGTTTGAATAATTACAACTACCTTCAACTATGTATTTTCTAACAAAAAAAACCCTAATTTAGTAGGTAAATTTGAGACTGTAAGAATGGACGTGTAAGACATTACATAATTGACTAGTGGTTGTAATTTCCCAAACATGAGTTTCATAATTTGGCCTAAGGTGGTAGGTAACATATATTTTCAATCATCTAAAACATCGAACCCTTCAATTTTCCTTTATCCTTCGTTAACTTTTGAAGAGATCGAAGAAATAAATGATAAATAGCGTTTAACTCCTTATGATATGAACTTTGTGCACATAACTCACTTATACTTTTAATATGAGCATATAACCCTCTTGTATTTTAATATAAGAATGTAACCCCATTTTACTTTCAAAAATTTCTTCTTCTTAATGAGTATGATTTTCCAATGAACATGATTACTTAATTAGCAAATTGAATACCATATGGGGTTGTGTGTTTATATTAAAAGTACAATGAGGTCATATGCATGATGTTCAAATTACAGGGAGTCATATGTATAAATTGAAATTACAAGGAGGTCATGTGTAGAAAACTCAAACACAAGGGGTTTAAATGTTATTTATGCAAAAATAAATAAAAACAATCTTTAATTTGCATTCAAATTGCAGCCTAATACAACCACCCCCTGCCAAAAAAAGAAGTGCAGCAGCAACAAATATCAGAGGGATGATAGCACAATTACTGACCTTCAAATAAGAGCCCACAAAATAGACGAAGGTTGTAACGTTCATTATTTTTTCAACTCGATTACCTGATCATCTCGAGTATATTATATAATTAGGAAGGGTAAAATACACTTTCTACCCCTGTACTATAGCCATTGTCGCATTCACCCCTTATACTACCGTAAAATACAAAATGCCCCCTTGCCGCTAGCAAATCCGTCGGTCAAAGCTCATGTGGTGTGTTGACTACATATGTTTGATTTTTATGACAACCTTACCCTTTTAGTATACTCAACAGGCTTTTTCCTCACCATACAAATGGTAAGGGCAAAAGTGTAATTGCATAGTGATTTTTAACACCGTCAAAATTCTGAGCATTGACTGTTAAAACTAGGGGGCGTTTTGTATTTTCCGGTAGTATAGGTGGTGAATGCGACAATGGCTATAGTACAGGAGTGGAAATTGTACTTTACCCAAAAGAAAATTGTGCCACCGGTTTCCATTCGAATAACCGTAGAAAAGTTTGCAATTCTAGACTGATTAACACCCAAAGCTACAACCGCGTATCTCAGTTTCAGTCTTTTTACACAAAGGAAAACAAAAAGATTGTTGTTGAATGACCATCTCAACTAAGAGTTTAAGCTGTTAGTGAAATGTATCATTTAATAATATTATCTCCAATAATTCTGAAAAAGGAAAAAAAAAAAAAGTCAAGTGTGGAAAACCTGTTTTGCTCATAAATAGTTCCCAGCTTTCTTTCTCGTGCAAGGGTTTAATATGGTGAGCTTCACCAATCTCTTGTGCAAAATCGCGTTGATCGGTCGTCAGCAAAATTTTGCTTTGGGTGCAATGTTCGGCCGTCGGGAAAGCCACGGTCAGCATTCCCCAGTTCTCCTTCCTCTGTACACCGGACAACACAATCAGGCATTTCTTCTGTTTCTGCACGTTGTGGAGTTCCCCAATCAGCTCCACAACCGACATCTCCGCGACCCGTTTCTTTGACATGCTCGGCACTAGCTGCTCTAGTATCGACTGCATGACGTTTCCTGCTTGGAAGTCCTCTGGCATTTCCACCCAAGCGAAACACACAAACTGTCGACGAATTTCAATATCTTCATTGTACAATTTCTTCACAAGACTAGTCTTGCCCATGCCCCCTGGACCCCACACTACAACGATGGGGGGCCCACTACTACTACTGCTACTACTACTACTGCTATCTGAAAGTAGTAGTCGTCGTTTTATTACTTCCTTCTGATCCGGCACCAGGAATTTATTATCTTCTTCCATCAAAACAGTAGTACGACTCGGCGAGACTGCTTTCGGCGAATGAGGAGAAGCCACATCGTGCTGTGCAAGACGCTCGAGAACCGATTGGATTTCCAGTTCTAGTCTCCTCCACCTAGCACGGCCATAGCCAAGGCTCGTGACCTTGAAAGCACCCGATTTCTTAACGCTCCCCTTCCAGATTATGACGTCGATGAAATCATCAATTTCGTAGGGTAGCTCGATTAGGAGGAGTTTCCTTAGTTCGTGATTGGCTTCTTCGACCAGATGAAGCAAGCCGACCGATCGGTCCTTCAGCTGTTGCAGCAGGCTCTCCAGATTAGAGCTATCCCCACTGAAGCTCTCTCTTCTAATCAGTTGCAGATGTTTGTACGTGGCCGCTGGGGCGGCCGCCCAAGGCCACCTCAGCGACCGGGCTTTTCTGACGTACTTCAACTCTGCATCCACCTGCTTCCTGAACGTGTGGATGAGATCTCGAAAACTGTTCTCGAAATCGGTTAGCGTCTCCTCTCTAGTTTGACGAGGAGACGCCATTCTTGCCTTTTTTCGAATGTTTTTTTTTTTTCTTTTCTTTTTTGGGAACTTGGTACTTTACCTAAAGAGAAGGCGAATGAGATGGAATAAGGGATTATGGTTACAGAGCTCACTTCTTTGTGTTTAGTATTATGGACTAGGACATTTTATAGAGCAATGGTTTTTTTGTGAATTTGACAGGTTCCCAAACACCTTGGTTGCCAATAGTACTACTTTAGTATCGACAAACCTGTGTTTGTAATCAACAATTCAATGAATTTCATTGTAAGTGGTTTTCTGGTAATCAACGTTTGGATTAGCCAGAACGATATGTTTGACTTGTTCTTGTTTGAACTCTTCTTATTGGTTGTGTTTGTCTACGACGAATACTTCTTCAACCCTACACCCGGTGATAAATACATGGTGGGTCTTTTGCTGTCACGTATTATTTTTTTATTTTATAATATATTTCCCCATTAGGGTTAACCTGTAGGGGTTTTAGAAAATACAAAAAAGGACACGTGCCAGCAGAAGACACACCTAATGTTTATTCATCGAGTGTAAGGTCGAAGGAGCCTAACTCGGTCATTGTCAAAACACTATTTATTTCCTTGTTAGGCTAAATAAAGATTAACTTCCAGTGTTTGAGCTTTGTGCAAAATAAGCTCTTTACATTTTTAATATAAACACATAATCTCCTTATATTTTTATATAAACACATGGCCCTATTGTACTTTCAAAAACATCCTCTTGCTAATTTGTATGATTATTTGGCAAGTGAAATACTACAAGGGAAGTATGTATTTATATTAAAAATACAAGGGATTCATATGCTTATATTGTAAATAGAAATGAATCATGTGTAAAAAGTTCAAATTATAGGGATTAAGTGTTATTTATCCTTCTTGTTATTCAATGAACGGGAAATTACCGTCAAAAGATAACACCTCTAATGACACGATAATCAAAGCCTTGAATAATGTAACCACTCCTGAGCAAAAAAAAAAAATGTAATAACTTATAAGCAAAGTGAGAAAAATGTAATATTTCGCGTGTGTGATTATGTGTAGAGTTATAGTTGAAATTTATTCAGTGTAAATAATTAGATGTAACATCAAATTATCCCAATAACTGGATATTATAATATTTAGTAAAATGTATCATTTAATATTAATATTTCCAATACACCTCTTAAATGAAGCGGAACATTTGAAGCATTGAATTTGAAATATTTGAAATGGGTAGCGGTGGGCAGTGGCGGAGCCAGGATTTACGGTAAGGGTGGGCTAAAATTTTACGCGGTTCGGAGGTAGAGTCCCCGAATTTTTTTAAGAGTTTTTTTCAAAAATATAGAGCAAAATAAATAGAAATTTGTATATTTTAATTAAATTATATATATTAAATTGTATATTATATACTTATTAGAGCTCTTTAAACTATATTACAAATTTGTTGGTGGGCTAATTAAAATGGATTAGGATTAAAATAGTGTATAAAAATGATAATTAAACATAATTAGCATTAAAATATTCAATAAAAATAAATAAACCAGGGTGGGCTTCAGCCCACCCACCCTTCAACGTGGCTCCGCCACTGGCGGTGGGATTCGAATTCAGAAACTTTTCATTTTGTCTAACTCTGATACCATGTTGCATGACCATCTCAACAAAAAACTTAAACTGTGAGTGAAATTTATCATTTAATATCAATATCTTCAATATTTACCTCAATTTCTTTGGTTAAAATTATTATAACTTTGCTTCGGCTTTTTTTTTTTTTTTTTTTTTTTTTTTGTGTGAGCACAAGTGTACAGTTTTATAATAATAGTAACTATGGCGTGCAAGTTGCATTCCATATATTTTTATTTCGATATGACTTTCTGATTAAATTGTGGATGCAGATGGAAGAAAACGCAATTGCCAATAATATCAAAACTAAAAAAGTTTAACCTCACTTTACACCCTTAAAATATATTTAATTAGTATTTTGCATTCTCGAAAAAATCAATAGCACTTTTCACCTTTAAAATACTATAAATCATGCACAATGAACCCGGAATGAATTAGCTTTTTAGTGGTATTTTTCTAGGATGTCAACTGTCAAATCCAAGTTTCTAATTTTTATATTCATCAATTCTTCGAGCCAATTCTTCTAAAAGATATATTTTTTATCACAAAAAATATTTAAAAAAAAAAAAAAAGGAAAAAATTGTTCAGTTAATCTTATATATATAAAACAAAAAACGCTGGGCAACCTTAAAAAACCCTAATGGTATTTCTGTAATTATTTACTTTTAATATTTTTTTCTACTAATTTCTAACTACATTAAATCTTAGTAAATTTATTTGGATTATAAATTTTAATATGTAAGATTTAAAAAATTAATATTATATAAAATATGAATAATACTATATTTTTAAATTTTACTATATTAGTATACTATATTTTCTTATTATGTATTAAATTGATTATTTTTTTCACTATTTAAATAATATCCCGTGCATCGCAGCACGGGATAAAAATGGTAGTTTATTGTTAAGTTATTTGAAAATTATATTCCGCGCAAGTTATGGGAACCCAATTCTCCATTTGTTACGGAATCTGGGTAACAGGCTTCACCTAGATCACGGAATTGTTGTGGTGAACCTGCACATAGATACTGATTTCGTAGAGGATGACTCACTGAGTCAACCGGTTTCTCCTCTTTGCCGATGGGGAAACATGTGTCGAAAGTATGGGTGCTTATAGTTTATAAAGATGGTCTGTTAGGGAACGGTAGCTCTGGTAACGGTTTTGCTTACACGGTTTCTGTGCCTTGGGTGTGTAATACTTCTCTTGTCGTGTGTCGAGGTTTTATGGCGGGTGATGATAGTTTAGGGCCGAACGAGGTTTTGAATAGTCTAATGTGCAAAGGCGTTGAAGTTGAGAAACTTGTTAATATGCCGTTTTCGTGTTTGCAGTATATAAAGGGAGGTTTTACCCTCGAGTGAGACTTACGATGTTCGTACGAGCCTCATTTTGAGGAGTGATTGAATTACGATTGTTAGATAACCACTTCATCTAAAAGCTTAAGATGTTAGTGAATTGAGTGTGAATTATTCAAGATTTATATCTCCAGCACTTTCTTTCGTAAGTGCATATGTGGAAATTTTTAAATGCGTCGAACACAAGACTTTTCATTCGAATTGACTCTGATCTCGATGAACTTCCTAGCTTGAGTTGTTTGTTTGTCAATCTTAGTCCCGATGAAGTGTGGACACTTATTTAATGATAAAAAGAAACCGAAAAAGATGTGATACTTTATTCCAATTGTAAAGAAGCAAAGAACCCTAACAAATAACAACACATTCAAAGTACAGATTGATATCAGAGTTAACTTGTTTGAGGTTTTCATAAAATTGTTTGTTATTATTAATTTGTCTGGGTTTGTTACTACACTAGTTAAATTAGAAGTAAGTTGAAGAATATATTATTCAATGTAGACTATGTAGTACTTAGCGGTTGGAACAAGTCAGCTTGTGTCAATTGACCCAAGTTCGAATTCATTTGCCAATAGTCGGTAGGTCGAGTTTATCATATATGGTTAGTCTAGTGGTTTACGTATCTCGTATGGTTTGTAAGTTATTATACGGGAGTGTAGGTTTACCCGATACACCTATATACTGTGGTTCCTTCCTTTAAAAAAAAAAAAAAAAAAAAAAAAACTAGTAGCATTATTTTGATAGGAAAATACTTTTTTTTAATTATTATTATTTATACAATTATTAAAGTTATATGACAAATCATGGACGCTAACATAACAATAATAATTATTAAAAAAAAAAAAAAAAAAAAAAAGGGAAACAGAGTCATTGTTTTGTTACTTCCACGCAATGCTTTGTTCTTTTCAAATAGAATTAGTAACGAGAACGACAACTGAATAATCATTTAATTTATGTTGAATAAACATAAAACATATAACATGTAACAAGTTTCGTGCTTTCCACGAGGCAATTATCGTGCTGCACAGTTTCTCTCTCTCTCTCTCTCTCTCTACTATTTTTTTGGGGTCAACTAAAAACTGTGGGGGATAATTGTTTAAGAATAAAGCCGTCACAAATAATAAGCGAGGGGCACACGATGCAATAAGTTAAAGGTGCATCTTGCAAATATTACTTTACAATGGAGTGGACGAATAATTTTCCCCTAATTTTAGGTATGCAAAGTCATCTAAACAGGGATTTGTAAATGTTAATAATTCGCATAGATTTATAGTGTAAAACCACCCGATGCTTTTTCATCAGGTGTGCCATCTCATAGACCATTAAACAACAACCGAAAAAGAAATAGTCAACTTAACACAAATTTTATTTATTTATTTTTTAATAAGAAACTGAACACCAAATTAAAATAGAGTAAACTGCAAAAACTACATATGTGTAATCTCAAACTAACAAAAACCCCTTATGTGATAAATAAACTAGCAAAAACCACTGTGTGACTGGACGGTGACCGGACTTTTGGGTGCAACTGTTGGCGGAGGTGGAGTCATGGTGGTGGAGTTGGTGGCATAAATTAGCATAAATTATAATTCAACCTCAAATTTTGTTTTTTTATTCAATTTGGCATGTATTTTATGTTATTCTAATTTATATATTTTTTTATTGAAGAGTATATTTGCCATTTTACATTCGGTCAACTACTGAAATCAAAATAGATCGATTCTGTTATTTTAATAATTGTACAGGGATTTTTGCTAGTTTATTTATCGGAGAATTTTCTGCTAGTTTAAAATTACACAAAGATACTTTTCGCATGTTACTCAATTGAAATAATACATTAGTGTTTTTATAATGTTAGGTTTCGATTACCATTGCTAACTCCAATTATATTATTTAAAATTAGGTCTAATACAAAGAACCGCACATCTTACTAACTCATTAACTAATTATCCAGTAGAGAAATTCCAACTACATGAAAAAACAAATTCCAATTCAAACCATATAACTGAACGAGGTCTTAATTAAAAAGTGTTTGATTAAACTTATAAACTCTTAAAAATAACTTACAAGATATTTAAGAGGTTATAAATTCTTTAAAAGAGGTGGGCAATTGTCTTAAAAAAAATCTTAAAAACCAAAAAAAATAAAAATAAATAAACAGCTAGAGAAATAAGCTGATTAATCAAAAACTTTAAAAATAAGACTGTAACACTTTATCAACTCTTAAAATAGTTAATTAGATTTTTTAAATTAGTTTAACCAAATAATCTCTCAATCATTAAACATAATCATGTGGTGCTTTAATTGGATGAATGATGATACATTTTATATGTTTCTCTACATATAAAAATAAGAGGGAACCGCCATATGCTAACCAAGTAGAAAACTTCAACAATATATATATATATATATATATATATATATATATATATATATACATTGTCTTCTCTTTGATTATATTTCTTGTGGTGGGGTTAAGTTGAAACACGCAGGGAGAGATGGCAGAGATAACAAGTAATATTGCTTCGGGCTCAAATAATCCCGCAGACAATCAATCCTTGGAAGAGAAAGCCCGCGTTGTTAATAACAAGAACACGAAGCAGGCGAGTCGATTTTCCATATTCCGAACCGGATCCCTCATGAAGAAGCTGATAAACAATCACAATCTGCAGAAGCAAAAAAGCATGATCAAAAAACAACTAGATATCGAGCAACAGCACGAACACCACGTGGCCGTACAAATACAGCGGCCGCAAAGATCGATGAAACACATTCCACCCACCACATCGCCGCTAGTCGAAGAGGACGAGTTCTTCGGCCCGGAAAAGGAAGAAATTACGAAGAAGCTGCTCCTCCCGGAGAGCGGCGCCCCTGCTTCGGGCTGGGCCCACGTGATCTCCGTGTGGGGCCCGTGGGGTCTCGGCAAGATCAGGCTTCTGAAGAAGCTGTACAACGATTTCGAGATCCGCCGGCAATTCCAGTGCTTCGCGTGGGTTTACATGCCGGCGGATTTCGAAACCAGGAACATCATGCAAACCATAGTGGTGCAGCTTGTGCCGAGCATGAGGAAACGGGTTACGAAGATGTCGTTCCTGGAGCTGGCGGAGGAGCTCATCAGTTTGCAGCTGGAGAACAAGTGTTTGATCGTGTTGTCGGATGTGCGGGATCTGAAGAATTGGAGGATGCTGAGCGTCGCATTCCCCACCGCCGATAAAACGCGGACCCGGATTTTGCTTACGACTCGTGAGAGGGAGTTCGCGGAGAGGATCGGCGGTGATGTACTGGGGATTAGTCCCTTGGATGACAAGCAAAGCTGGAAACTCTTTGAAAGGATAATAGGTGCGTAATTTATGAATCGTCTATGATTTTCATTGTTTTAATCATTTTTCTTAAGATCCGAGAATTCGAAGTGATATGATGAAATGATAAATCCCGAAATTTTGGGATAAGCGCGCAATTCCAGTTGTATTGGAGATATAAATATTAAACGATTCACTGCAACAGCTCAAACTTCTAGACTGTGTTTAAGTTTTTAGATGACGATGTGTTGTCTTTTAGCAAATTCTCCCGTCTTCCTTTTCTAGTACAATTAGTAGAAAATGACTTTTTACTATGAATTTTTTTGTTACCGTAAACAGCAGTAACTTTTATTATTGGACAATCTTGGAATCATAGTGAATGCTAGGATTTACTGTAGTAAAAAAAATATATTTGCTGCAAAGTGTTTGTTACGCCCGTACATGCTGCGGGCCAAATTCGTAGCAAAAACCTTTTTATTACGAATTTGGTACCTTTTACTACGATTGATGGTTCATGATCGTAGTAAAAAGTCATTTTTCTACTAGTGTACTCTGATTTGTATTCATCATATCGGTATATAAGAAATCTTCCATCGTGTTGAAACATTTGCTCGTTTAATTTGCATTGTCATTCTCCAGATATTAGCTTCAACCAACACGCCAAGAAGACGTTGAAGGAAATAGTGACCGGCCGATGCAAAGGGTCGCCGCTGGCAATTGCCATCCTTGCCGGATATCTGAACAACACCGACACTTCAAACTCATCGAACAGTGAAATCGACTCGCTAAAGTCCCATCTACAAGACGAACAACCCGACATTACGCACGCGGTGCAAAAAATAGTATCTATAAGCTACGCACACTTACCGGACAAACTCAAAGAATGCCTACTCTATCTCGCGCATTTGCCTTCGGAAGGAGAGTTACACTTGGACGACCTCTACGTACGCTGGATTTACGAGGACACGATATCGAAAGCCGAACAAAATCCGATGGAGGTCGCGGAGCACTACTTGGAGGAATTAGCTCTAAGAAACCTAGTCCAAATGCTCGAACAAGAGCAAGACGGTCCAAGTATCGGAACTTTCTTGTCGTGCAAACTCCACCCTCTCGTAAGAGAATTCTTCACGAAGATCGGAGATGCGGATAAAGTAAACACCAAGGAATTCATGTCCGTGACGGTTCCTAGACTCCCGTTAAATTCCAGGGCTTACCAATTAATTGACCATCCTAATTTACGCTCCCTCACATTCGCCGGCACATTCGAGCCTCCACCGGAGATATTGACTTCGAAACAGCTCCTTGTTGACTTTACGGAGTTCTATCTGCTAAGGGTGCTCGAGTTCTACGGAATTGACTTCCGTGGGTGGGACCTACCGCGAGGGATCGGTCAACTCATTGAGTTGAGGTACTTGAGTTTCCAGAGATGTTACCTCGAGAAATTGCCATCGTCGATCGGCGAGTTAATCCTACTCGAGACTCTGGATTTACGCGTCGAGCCTAATTGCATAATGGCAATACCGAATGTCCTCTGGAAAATGACGAAACTCGAGCGTCTTTACTTTCCGGCAAGATTCCAATGTGCCGATAGTAATAATAATAAGAAGAATAATCGGTTGAGCCTCAAAAACTTGGGAGAGCTTCAAGTACTAGTCAACTTCGACGCGCAAGTGTGTCATGTTCGACACTTGCAAGCGATGACGAAGCTCGAAGAAATGAGTGCCGTTGTGGTGGAGAGTCACATCGACTTGGACGCGATCTTGGACTACACTCGCTCATCATTAGTACGTCGTTTATCGCTCGACGTACGAAACTTCAACTGTTATTCTGAGAACACACGGACCGTTCTAGCGAAACTATTCGGCTGCGAAGCGCTCGTCTCGTTACACTTGGAAGGGTATATCAAGAAATTGCCGACGGATGTCGCTTTAAGCTATAAACTAGTAGAGATTGTGCTAAGTGGTTCGGAGCTAGAATCCGATCCGATGCCGATATTCGGACAGATTGCGAATCTGAGGAGCCTCGTACTCTGCAAAGACGCGTATGTCGGTACCGGCATGAAGTGCGGTAGGACGAGTTTCGGTGAGCTGAGAAGCCTCAAACTTCGGAGCCTTCGCAACTTGGAGACGTGGGACGTGGAGGAAGGAGCGATGCCGCAGCTAATGATTTTGTCGATCGAAAAATGCGCGAGATTGGAGATGCTGCCAGCTGGATTGGAGTACGTGGCTCGGCTTCGGGAGCTGAAGATCGTATCGATGCCTCCGCGATTCGAAGAAAGGCTGCAAGGAGAAGAAGGTGAAGATGTTAGAAAGGTCAAGCAGTTGCCTCGTATCATAATCTGCAGCTCCGTTTAAGTTAAAGTGACCATGATCACAACACACACACACACACATATATACATATATATATATATATATATATATATATATATATATATATATATA